TTTAAGTGCATGTAATCTTCAGATGGACAAAAACAATTATTACATCAGAAGTGAGAAGCACTCAATACAGGCAAGTCCGAAAAATCTATTGAAAACCAAGAACACAGAAGGAAAACAGACATTCCATACATGAATTTAAGTAAGTATTCAGTCACTGTACAATGTCTCAGGCTAGTGGATTCATTGTGAGGACTATAGGATAAGATTATAAACTGAAAATACAGCACATATCATTCCTCAGAGGCTGTCTATATCTCATTCAGAATTAGTATTTTTGTTACTATTTTGGCAATTTGGACTGAAAAATCCCCCTATGCAATGCATGAAATCATCATAAGTGAAAAAAATTATTCTAAGGTTGATATCTTTAGTTCTGTTAAAAGTAATACGCACAAGAAGTGAGGGATTTTTAGCAACAATTGAACTTGCAAAATAAGGGATATTAAAGAGCACATTTTGACCTGAGATTTAGGTCTACACTTGAAGATGAAGTTACAAATATTTCCAAATTGTACAATATCATAAATCTTAATTCAAAACCAAAAAATATAAGCATTTAAAAATTGTTTAGAAAATTCTAAAATGAAATCATTTCATGTTATAACTATATACCACCCAGACATTACATTGGCTATAGATTGTTGTTAAAGGGGATAAGATAAGCCCCAATACTATTTAAATGGCCATAAAAGTCTGAGATTAGCCCTGGTTGGTGTGTCTCAGTGGACTGAGTTCTGGCCTTTGAGCCAAAGGGTCGCCGGTTTTATTCCCAGTCAGGGCACATGCCTGGGTTGTGAGCCAGGTCCCCAGTAGAGGGTTGCACAACAGGCAACCGCACATTGATGTTTGTCTCCCTCTCTTCCTCCTCTTCCCTCTCTCTAAAAATAAATAAATAAAATCTTTTTAAAAATCTGAGGTTATGGTTTGAAGAGGCTGAAAGAAAAATCAGTGTAAAATTGGGAGAGGAGAGAAATAAGAGGCCCAAGACATTCATGCAAGAGTAGCCTAAACCTTGCCTTTGAAGATGGGTATGTTTAGATGTTTGAGAACACCCTCTTAACATCGTTACAGTGCTTTACTATGTGTGAGGTTTATGAATGCATTGCTTTTGGTGGGTAACTCCCAATTGAGATGATACTTAGGACATAAATTATAGCTGTTCAGTTTTTCCATTGTGGGCCACCAGAACTTTCATCTTAGAGTATGGGTGCTCAAGCTGGCTATACAGATTGGTTGAAACTCACTACTCTATTTTGTAGCTGTGTGACCACATGTACTTTACTCAGGCACTTTGGACATCAGTTTTCTTACCTGTAAAACAGTATTAATAATGGTTCCTACCTCAAAAGGTTATTCTGATAATTAAATTAGTAAAGCAGTGAATAGTGCTTTGAACAATGTCTAGCAGATAGTAGGAATGAAAAAAAAAGTCTGCTCTTTTTTGCAGTTGTTGTTATAGTCCATATTCACAAAATTAAATTTGAGGAAGCAGAGAAGCAGATCAAAGCACTGGTCTCAGTCATGGTATTCTTTTGAGTTTGAAAATTTCCAAGATATTTCCTACTTCAGAGACCTTTCATATGCTGTTCTCTCTGCCAAGAATACTCTTTTCTTCTTTCTTAACTTGTTAATTCCTCCTCAATCTTCAAGTCTCAGCTGTCTATTCTTCCACAGTAAGGACTAAGCTGATTTTTCATTTCATTCATGACCCCAATATAACTTACGATCATCCTATAAAAGGCATCTCTCCATTTTTCTTTCTATTTTATCCTAATCACAGGGGTGTGTGTACAGGTGTAATTCTTTCTATAATCCTTATCATTTTCTAAGCTCCATCAAAAAAAAGACCATGTCTATTTCATTAACCAACCAAATATGGCCTTTAGCACAATGCCTAGTATATAATGATCATTCTATAGATATTGTTAAATAAAATAATGAATTAATAAAAATAAAAATAAATATATGAATAAATTCATGAGAATAAACTGATTATTATTGGCATACTGATAATGCTGTATTATGGAATACTTCACTTTTTTTAAAGACATTTAAAAATATTGAACAAACAGCATAACTAACTTCTCTTTGTAGACGTGTTATTATTTATAACACAGCCAGAATCTCCTCTGAGATTTTCCAAGAGAGAAAAAGAATAAAATAACCATAACATAAATCAAATGATCATAACCTCATTATAATATCAATTAATTACCAATAAGTTACATTAAGCATAACGCTTACGTAAATAAGGTAAATTATCTCTTCAAATCCGTTCTCTTCTGGAGTGAAGTTACTTTGTGATCAGAGTATTCATAAAAAAATTAACTGATATAAAAACAAATAAGGTACCTTTCCTTTTATATTTTGGTTATACAGAGTAATGAGCTGAGCAGTTCTCAATCATTGATATAGATCAGAATAACTCATGGACCTTAAAAAATATAAAGATATCCAAGGTCCAAAGCCCAGAAATACTGTTTCAAAAAGTGTTGAGTAACTTTTGGAGAAACTTTTGAAAAGTTTCATGCCTGGATCTTACATGACGCTAATATTAAATAGCACTTGTTTAGTTTAGATACAAAATCATTTATTGAGAAAAAGTCTGGATAGTTCTTATAAAACAACCCCGAGTAATTAAGCAGGATTGAGAAATTATGTGTACTCTTAATCACCTACTTTGTTTGGACAAGAAGTTTTCAATAACCTAAGCACTTGAAAAACTTTTAAATGTAGTCATTTGGAAGTTGCTCAGATCCTCCAATTTTCCATTTAATTAAATACAATTAATTTAATTTTATTTGACAAATATTTATTGAGTGCTGACTGTGCCCAAGGCACTTTCCTGTGACACTGTTAACTTTTTTTTAAAAAAGCATAAATTGATCATTGACCTTCTACAGATTCATGTCAAATGGAGAGAGATATTTTCTAAAATTGAAAAAAAGTACATGGCAAGTGTCAGGAGATAGTACTATGATACATAAAGTGTACGTATTACACACCTACCTCTCATACACACACACACAGGTTATGGAGAGACTGGACAGTTTTGTGGAGTAGTTATCATTTGAGACTGGTCTGGAAAGTGATATAGGATTTTCATGGGGAAACATAAAGAAGTGAGCAAATATTTGGAGACATAAAATAAATGATGCATATGACAGTTTGGCTAGTTGTCATTGAAGAGAACAGAGAAAAGAGTGTGGGGTTGACTGCTAAAGACCACAGCTGTCCCCTGAACAGAACTGTTTACCAGCAATGTAGAAGCATATAACAGTATAAAAACAAGAGACATACCTCTTTCTATAAGGAATATTCAGTAATGTCTAGAAAAAATATTGAAGACATGCAATAATTTAAAATGGCATTATATTAATTCTAAAGAAGACAAAGTACTGATACATACTACAGTATCTTAGAAGCAGAGAGAAACATACTGCAGATGAAGGGAGGAGAACTAACCCCATCATGGTGGTAGGCCAACTGGTACACCAGTTAAGTTAAAACAGGATCCTGGAAGGCAGTATGGGGAATGACAGCACAGAAAGGTGGAAGAAGACGAGACTATCCAAGGCCTTGAACATCAGGGTCAAAGTGTTGGGGCCTTTTTAAAGTTTAGTATGAATACACTAAAAATTGGTAAACAATAAAGCAGGAAACTGACAGAGTTATATTCTAAGGTGGACGGTGGGGGGCACTGCAACAGGGGGAGGCTGTCGGCAGAAGGGACAGCTACATGGTCACTGCAGTAGTTGTAGCAGCGGGTAATGAGACCCAGGGCATACTGGCAGGAGAAGGATGTACTATCATCCTGTAAGAACTTTGCAACTGAAGAACAGGGTTGATGGATTGGTGGGTCTGAGAGCTACCTTTGTAAAGAGAGAGAAATTTTTTAAAAAAGTGAAAGAGAAGCTAGGATGTTTGGATATGATATATAAGGAGAAAGTTCACTAAGGTTCTTAGCAAGAAATTGATTTCAAGAAACCTCATTAACTTTTATTACTGCCATTTCATGATTAGCAGCTTTGCTTCATTATCAAGAGTATTTAACCCAAACTATTTTATTTAGACATGCCTAGGGATCTGACGTCTCTTGTTATCACTAAAAAGACAAGATTATAAATTCCTCCTGGCTTGATTACCCACCATAAATCAAATTTAGAAATTATATAAATGCCCAAAGTATGTGGCTGTTTGTTCTGGACATTAATTCACATTCTTATTATATGGAGAGATGTAATAACTAAGATTGATAAGCTTATTCTGTAGGTAAAATTACTGATTAAGTAATATAAGAGCTCCTTAATCCTAAAATTAAAATTCCCATTCGTAAATGGCATACTAGGCGAAAGTAAACATTATTATGTGGTCTAATAAAGCTTTATCATTACAAGATAGGAAAAATATCTAGGTTATCAATACTAATTTAATCCTATTGGTGGTAAAAATATTGCTAGCTTAAAAGACACTTGTCATTTGATTTCATTAGGGAGGTTGGCCAAGTAAAAGTGATTCTTCATGATAAAAATGATTAAATTAAAAACAAAGTTAAAATTATTATAGAAAAATCCTAAAAAATAAGTGGCATGCCCTTCCAAAGGTATTTTCAGGAAATGAAATCAGAAGCAAAGTTTTCATGCAGTTTCTCACACAACTATATTTATACAATTGCATGTCTGTATATTTTTACATCTTAACATTGATGGTTCTTCAACAGTAACTAATTTCAGAGAAATGTAAAGATTTCCAGTAATATATGAAGCTGTATTATTAATCAGCCCCAACAGCCCAAACATTAACATAATGTACATCACTGAAGAATAACAAAATAAAACTCAGACTAAATTAACATTGACTCATTTGTTATACAGTAATTGCTAAATAACTGTAAAATACATTCTGTTCATTAACTGTTCCAGTTATACTGTTGTTTTTTTATTTGCTTCCATGTTTATCTATATTTTATCTAAAAAGAATGGAAAAACTTAAGTACTTACCAAAATTGTGGTGACAATCAAAGAACGATTAGATAAGGAATCTGTGATGTTAGCTGGCTTTCCCTTTTGACTTTCTGTCATGTTCAGGCCACTGGCTGGATCCCAAGTTCCAATCTATAAAATAGCATATTGTCTTTGTAAATTGTCCATCAGGCACCTGGGGAAGAGCACCGCTGGAGAATAGGTAAGAGCGCTAATACTTATTGTTCACCCCTGCTGCATTATCCACTGTCGTTGGGAGAAAGGCTGTTGTTTTAAGCATGATTCACTGCTCTGCGAAGTGTGTCTGGTGAACTGTGACATTAAGGAACAAGATGATCCAGGGCACTTCTACAGTCAGCACAGGAGCTTACTTTTCCATTTAAACCTTCATTCACCAAGATAACCCACATTTGATGATACCTTGATAGCTGGCTAGAAGCTCATTAATAGTGCATATCTTTTTGCTGTAATGGATCTATTTCATCCTCACTATAAAGATAATGTGCTATATTATATGAATAAAAAAAGACAGGCAAAACCTGGGGACCCAGGGTAAATTAATCAGAAAAAGCAGGTTTAAGAGAGGCATTAATTGGTATTCTGCATAAGCCCCAGTAGGGCAAAATCATACCTAGAATTACCATTGGAGCTTTGAAAAATATACCTTTGCAGCTTTTAAAATATTCAGAAAAAAAGGAGATTACACTAAAATCTCACCTGTTTATTCCAATAGTTCCACCTTTATCCCATATAATATATATTTAATTTAACTAATACACTGTGATAGATTAGGGCATATACTCTCAGGGTCCAGACATTGTATACCCACCGAACACAGCCTATGGAATGACACAGACATGCATCTGGGGGACACATATAAGCACCGGATGCCACTAAATGTGTAGATTGGATGGATGGTTTGCATGAACTTCACCATTGCACCATCACATAACAATGGCCATTGGGAAAGACAATAAAAGGAGGTGACCGAAGATGAAAAGTCAAAAGTTGCAGTAGTTCTTTTTCCCACCCTCTTAAACCTGAAGTCATCAGGAGTAACTGCATATATAGTTACTTAATAGAGTATGTAATATTTACCCTAAATATACTAACAAGGGTCTCATCAGCATAACCTTTTCCAAATTAAATACTATGCTCATTTTATTTTCTTTATATTTCATTGTATTTACTTTTTTAAATCATATCTTTATTTGGCCAGCTTTCCTATAATCTCTCAAGATGTTTAATTAGAAAATCACAAAAGTGGAATAAGAATAATAGGTATGTCATTCTAATACTTGTGTATAAGTGCAAACTCTAGTATATTTTTTCAACTATACTAGGGACTCAATATAAACATTTTTAGTGATGTTTAAAACAGTCTCTTGCCATATAGTCTTTATTCCAGTTACTTTTCTTCTTATCATTGAAAACTATGCATTTCTGACATTTCAATCAAGAAAGGAAAAAGTCAAATAATACACTGAGAAAAAATATTAATTCAGTATTCTTTCCAAAATAAATTACCTACAGGCCAATTAACTGTTTACCTTAGACTATAACTACCAGAAGTTATAACTACCAGAACATCATAAAGACATTGACGGTCAGTGATGGAAGGCATTCAAGGGCCAGATTTGGTAATATGAGTGTTACCAAATGTTGAATGTTACCATGAATGTTGAAGTGGAAAGCCATAAGCCAAAAGAATTTCCAAGTAAGGATATGCAGTCCTTAAACCTCACAGAATCACAAAACAGAATAGCAAGTAGGGGCCACATTCAGACCCTGTTCTGCTCACAGAGCTGTGTGCCTATGGGTTGCATGTTCCCAGAGCAGGTGCTTTTTCAAGTTCCCAGCAAGGCATCACCAGAGTTAGGAGAGGCCTGCTGTGGACTTGTGTGAGGAAGGACAGTAGGGATGTAAAAGCTGGCATGCCTGCTGACCTGCTTCAAGTGCTTCAAATTCAAACTCATCAAAAACACTCTGTTGGCTAAACAAGACATGTGCAGATCATATTTTGCAGTGACTGACACTTTTCTGTCCCTGGTCTATAATTAACATCTATGATGCATTTGCTTCCTTGGATTTTTTTCTCCCCACCATGACTAAGTAGACAGGTTTTTCACATACACATTTCTATCAGCCAAAACACTGGCAAACATCATTTGTCCTCTGTTGCCCAACTAATGACACTACCAAGCTTAACCAACAGATTTTCAACTTTTTTACCAAATCACTAATACAAAATATTGTCCATTTAACTTACTATTGTCCTCCATGATTATTTTTATATAAAAAATTCAGCTAAATGTTTACCCATGTAAACATATTTAATTTTATTCTTTGTTAATTGTTTTTCTAGTACCATTTGGGTAGAGGGATTCTGGCTTATAATATGTGAATTTATAATTTCCTATAATCACAAACATCAGGTATTCTCTCTTGTAAAACCCAGGTTTCTAAGTAGAATGTGAGGAAGTTTCAAAAATTTCAGTGGCATGAAATTTTAAATCAAATAACATTTTGTATGATTGTTTTATTTCTACTCCTAAAACTGTGTAATTCAAAAACATCCTATTGATTGAGGACATTGTCAACAGAGGGTTTTGCTTTGTTTTTGTTTTAGTCTCAAGAACCATATACTAAGTCAAAATATTCTTATTTCTTTTTATATTTTTTCACAACCACAATTTTTCACTGTGATTTAATAAAGTATCTTCAGTACTTTTTCAGTTTTAAAATGTAATAAAAATACCTAAATGCTCTTGAACTTAGAGATGTTTTAAGTAGAGTGAATATATCTTAGTTTACTTGGATACTTCAAGTTTAAAATTGTTTTCCTAGTATAAACACTAATAACGCCCAATTGTACAATTGAAAAAAATCATAGTTTGGATAACAAATTATAATATAATGTTTCCCAATTATAAAGACAAACTAGATAATATAAAATTGCTTCAAAAATCATAAAGAATATGGCATTATCCATTTTAAATCTTATTTTATGTCCTGAATGGTTCTTAAAATAAATTTGTTCTTCTTCATAAAAAGGTACGTTTATTGTGAAATTACAAAATATACAAGATATATAAAAGAGAACATCAGTTTAAACTTGAAACCTACGCACATACCCAAGTCAATCACTGCTAAAGCTTTAATTAATGCATGTATGGTCTTTGCATAATTTGCAGCATAGCCCTGTAGTGAATGGCCCAGACCCTGGAGTAGAAATCAAAATGCCTCAATCCCATTACCATCAGTTTACTTGGGCATATTACTTCTCTATGCCTCAATTTCCTCATCTATAAGTGAAGAAAACAGTATGATCTACCCCATAGAGGTATTATAATGACTAAATTTAAAAAATCAATACAATGGATTTATAAGTAAGCTATAATTATTACATCAATTAAATATATCCTTCTAGTACACTATTCTGAACATTTTCATCTGGCATTAATATTAAGAATTCATTATTTTAATGGCTATATAAAATGAACATCATATGAATGTAATATGCTTCTATGTGCAGATTTAAAAATAATTTTGCTGCATTTCTATATAAAGTAAATTTGCCTAAATAAAGACATATTGTCTCTTGGCCTTCTTTCAGAGCTGTTAAGTCATACATTTTGCTAATGTTTAATATTGCTAAACAGACTGAGAACAGCCTAACATTTGTTTCTTTATTGGTACATATTTTTCTTGAAAGCTTCTAGCATTCTCTATATAAAAGTATTGATAGAGATTCTTCTCTTATTATATTTGCCATAAATATAATTAATTTTTCAATTTTCTGAAGGTAGATTTTATTACAGTTATAATTCTCCTGAATTATTCATGTTGTCATGTCTTTAATAAATCTCATAATCTTTATATGGAATATTTTTTCCCATTCATTTTCCTTCACCATGTGTCTTGATGGCCATTTCAAAATTTGGGAAAAGCAGTCCCTTCTTACACTTAGGAATGTGTGCCCCAACACAAAAGTATCATATTACACTTTAATTGTAATCCTTTTCTTACCTCTGTCTAGTTAAAACTTAAATCCTGTGAAAGTAGAGACTGGCTTCCTTCTCTTCTTATCCCAAGGCCTTTGAATATAGGACTTACTAGGGGCTTTATATGTGAAGTACCAAAATACATTTGTTGAACAAACAAGTGTATTTTCAAGGTAAATATTTTCAACTCGGAAACACCACCCATATTTTGCTTTAGATTAAAATTATATTATATTTTATTTTTCTTATTCTCCTGTGTTAGACTATAAATGCCTTGAAGACAATAAATATCCATTGAATATTAATTGAATGAATGAATGAATGAATGGAGTGAGTGAATTACTGCATAGTGAAAACTTTCAGGGTATTTTTTAGGTTATTAACTTCCCAAACCTATTTATTCATTTATTCTTTCCTGGAGCAAATACTGAATATACACGTGTACTATGTGTCTATTCATTTATATTTATGTTTTCTTTTCTATGTTATTCATGTTTTGTTGAAGCCCTATCTCAAAATCATATTTCACTTTTCAGAGTATTATGCCATATATCTTTGCTGTTTATTTTCACTTTGCCTAAAGTATATTTTATATATGTTAAAATAAATATTCCATAAGAGATAAAAATATTTTATGGTTTATTTTTATATATCTCAGAACTGTTTAAATTATTCAGGTAATTTGGGTTAGTAACTATGTTTTCTCTTTTTTATTTTTGGAGTAGAAAACATTTGTTTTTAGAATAATTTTAAAAATCATTAAATTATTAATTAAAATTTTTAAATAATTTTTAAAATTATTAAATTATTAATTTAAAAATGTTTAAGTACCTAATTAGTTAGCTGGTAATTTGTTTATACTTGTTTTTGACAGACTTCTTAGTATAAACTTCCTTTTTTTTACAACTCGTATTACTTCTTGATGTCCAAAGAATATTTCTCCTTTCCCTCTAAGCTACATAATTGCTTAACACCTCATATATAATTAGTACCTTACAGTTTCTTCTAAATGTGTATGTAACGAAATCAATGGGACATATTTCTTATTTTTCTTATAGAAAATAAGAAACAATGAGACGTTTCTTATTTTCTTTAAAATTACAGTAATACTCTGTTTGATAAGTATAC